TATATTTGCCAAAAATATAACTTTTTTATTTTAAAAACAAACAAGCAAGCCCTGTCCAGATTTAAAAAGTAACGCAAAAGTAACGTAACGCATTACTTTCCTTAAAAAGTAACTAAGTAACGTAATTAGTTACTTTTTTATGGAGTAACGCAATATTGTAATGCATTACTTTTAAAAGTAACTTTCCCCAACACTGTTGCTATGACAATCTGGCACTTCTGAATCAGCTACTGTTTTGTTATTAGTTTAAGTATTTGCTATTGACTGTTCAAATGCGGAGTTTTGCGCATCGTGTGTGTGTGTGAGAGAGGGAGAGAGAGCGCGCGAGAGAGAGAGCGATAGAGAGGGGGGGCGGGTCACATCACAGTGGAGTCAGCTGTCTTAACCGTGGCTTGTGTACTGCACACATACCAGCTTCATCACTGTGTCTGTCATGCGACTCTGTTCCCCTTTCGGGCTTGAACTGATGGTAAAACTAATGACATTATTTACTGTCGTTACATTCATTTTGAAAGATGAAGCTCGCGATTATGGCAAGGGGCGTTACATTTCCGACGAGTGCTTGCGGTGTTCGGCCAATCACAATGCACTGGGTCAGCTGGCCATTTAAAAAATGAAGTATAATGGAATAGAATGGTGAAGGAAATGCTAGGTTTAATTCTAGCATTTAAGTAATAATTTTGGAACTATTTGCAAATAGTATTTTAAAATATACACACATCCACTCTTTTTTGTATGCCCAATATGTCGAAAACGCAAAACTTTTCTTGTCTCATTACATTCAGTTAGGAATTACTTGAATCATGTAAATTATACCATATTTTCAATTCAAAACAGCAATATTTAAGAAAAAAAATAAGTTGAGTAGTTTGCATCGCTTGATATTACTGTTGGTCGTTTAACATTTCCGTCGTAAAACAGATGTCAAATATTAAATGTTTTGTCTTACCATCTTATGTGAAAACTGGTGTTTCACGCCAACTTTGATTTGATTGGACTTCTCAATCATTTTGACATTGACGAGTGCTGCTAGACCACTGTGGCAGATCAGCCTAAAAATGTAAGGGGTCATATGATGCGCTTTCAATTTTTCCTTTCTCTTTGGAGTGTTACAAGCTCCTGGTGCATAAAGAAGATCTGTAAAGTTGCAAAGACTAAAGTCTCAAATCCAAAGAGATATTCTTTATAAAAGTTAAGAGTTATCCACGCCTACCTAAAACAGCTCGTTCTAACACGCCCCCACATATCTGAAAGAGATAGCGTAACTTTTATTCTCACTGTAGAATTGTTGCCGCTGCCGCCATGTCCTGAAGACGCTGTGTGCTTCGTTGTGAAAGCGAAACTACTTTGTTTGGCCTTCCAAAAGAGGACGATATCCGCTTCGTCATGCCTAGAGCTGATCTGTGCTGGTCGCTGAGGAAATACATCAACTTAGTGCTGTGACGGATCAGCTTTAATCGTGGACGAAGCGGAGTCCAGCCCGGGGTCGTCACATGTGGTTGCCGCTCCTTCGTCGAATCCGCCGGCTGCCTCTGCTCACTCTAGCCCGGCCTCAGCTCACGCTAAGCCGTGGCTTCCGCTCACGCTAGGCTGCCGTGTTTACCGTTGTGAATGCAAAACTACTTTCTTTGGTCTTCCAAAAGAGGACACGACTACAAATCAGTGGTTAAGTTGTATTTACAACACTGTTTCAGAACAGTTTAACCCAAATATCCAGATGTGTGCAGCACATTTTATGGAGGACTGTTTACTGATCCTGGGAGAGTAGACTACAATGCCGGCAGTTCTGACTCACAGTCTGTAAGTACGTTTTCATTTAAAG